GTGGGAGGCTGATTTAGATGAGAATAGTAAAGTAAAGGCACTGTGGACAAATTCACCTTCCTCCAAGATGCATGGAGGTGAGGATAAAATCTAAAGGTGTCAAAACTTGTGCAACACCTCTTGCAGAAAGATTTTTATTGTACATAGCATGAGTGTTTCTGAGTTTTTGACTTCTTTACAGCTTAGTGAGAAAGAAGAATGCTTGGAATGGAAACCGTCTGTGTTTTAGATGTGCAGAGTTATATATGTGGAGCGTTGTGAATGGAAAAACATGCTATAAATCTGACTTCTAAACAAATCCATGCTTGCATTCACCTCAACGCGAGGCACTCCTGCTCTGAACTGAACACTGTAGGTTGTGAAATAGTTTTCTAATAACCTGCTGGGCCTTTTGTATTCACCTCTCAAAAACATTTTGAGTAAACCACCACCTCCTCCTCCTGTGCCCTTCTTATGCAACGTCTTAAAACATAATCAGATTAACCTCAAAATAAATTCAAACCCTGTCAGGATATGAAACGCTTTCCTTTGCTTTTCACTCCAGAACATGACCATTTTCAACCACTCGCTTGACCACTTGAACGGCACGCCATGGTTCGTCTTCGACTGCACCCTCCAGCTCAACACGAACTCCCGGCGCATCGCCCTCTTCCTGATGTACCTTTTCATCTTCATGGTGGGCCTGATGGAGAACACGCTGGTCGTCTGGGTCAACTGGCGCCGAAGGCATTCCTCCAACGCGGTCCTCTTCTGCATCATCAACGTGAGCCTGTCGGACCTGATGGTGATTGTGATCCTTCCTTTCTTCATGATGGAGGTGACCATGGACCAGGTGTGGCTGTGGGGTCGCTTCCTCTGCAAGGTCACCCACCTCATCTACGTCATCAACTTCTACAGCAGCTCCTTCTTCCTGGCCTTCATGACCCTCGAACGCTATTTCTCACTGTCAAGACCGTCATCGTCAAGCTTCTTCCCTGCGGGAGGCCGGAAGCGGTGGGTGGTCTGCGGGGGCCTCTGGGGGCTCTCCTTGTTTCTGGCTCTGTTAGAGAACATCCATGTGGATCTTCTGGAGTGGGAAGAGCCAGGTTGTTACATGCTGCCTGAATACAACTACACCGAATGGTTCGTCACTGTGTCTTTCTTCTGCCTGGTTTTCCAGTTCCTGGTCCCCGCTGCTGTCATCATTACCTGCAATGTGCTGATCGCTCGTACAGCCAACAGGGCGACGGATGTGCAGAACCGACGGGATGTTTGGCTGGTGCACGTATACTCCCTTGTGTTTGTAATGTGCTGGCTTCCCTACCACTTGGTCATGTTCTTGATGATAATAGACGACCTTGAGCCCTATGTATTCAGCTGCAACACGGTGGAAGTGCTCTACTTTTCTTTCAGCGTGGTGCAGACCATTTCGCTTTTGCACTGTGTCGCCAACCCCTTCCTCTACAACTTCCTCAGCAAGAGCTTTCGGAACAACCTGATCAACACCATGTTGAACTACATTCCCAGAGAGGGGACTGCAGAACAGGTGGGACCCGGAGCCAACGCCAAAACTGCAAACGAGGGCGGTAGAGACCCGGGGAAGCGGAGTAACGCCAGCACCAGCCATTCTGATGTTGGATCATAAGATGAAGCTGAGCTAAGGATCAAGTAAGCTCCAGTCGCGGTATATTTGACCGAACTAAATTCAGCCCTGTCGCTTCCAAGTATCACAGGCATCGATCGGGCTCATACCTTCCTCTCATAGTCCACTTCCTGTTTTGTTAAGCATGTACCTGATCAGTTTCACACACAGGAGGGCAGGAAATGTTTGATGTCTTCCTGCAAAGCTGCTCAACTCACACAGGAACTCATGGCACAGTGAATGTTCCAGGAATTCGTGTCAACAAAATGTGCTGCAGTGCCCCACAGGAGAAATCCTCATATCAGTATACACCAATGCAAATGTGAAAATGTAACTGTTTTATTGCATAAAATCAAAGCTTAATGTTACTAAATGCTTATTTATCTGGATGCTGATGTAGTCATATCTGTAAAAAAACAAAACAAAACAAAAAAACAATAAAACTCCCTTAAACGCTGCTTGTTTCGATCCAAGCTGGAAAAGCTGAGTTGGCGTTTGTAAGCTGATTTGATGATGACAAAGCACAGCCACTCATTTGGAAACTTGTTTATTTTAACAAGGAAATTTGTCTTTCTTGCAGCTGGCTTGTCCTTTCTGCCCATCTTTATTACATTTACTTCCGTTTCTGGAATGTTTCATGTTCAACAGGTTAAACGATAAGAAGGCAGGGGGGAAAAAAAAAGCGGGGTCTGTGTGTCCACAAACGGCACAATAACAGGAAGAGACCAGGCTTTGCAAGGGCAAAGGTCTGAGCTGCTGGAAACAGGGGAAGCAGATTTCTGCAGATTCATCACTGAATTTCTGATGATGGAGCAGCTC